ATTGTCATGTTCCTCAAACCATTTCTGAACAAAGAGTTGAAGGTGTTGCCTGTGGGATGTGCTAGAAAAACAAATCTGCTTCTTGGAGGCCCCACCTCACAACTTGCAGGATCTGCTGCCAATGTCTTGGAGCCAGATACCCCAGGACATTTTCAGAGGTCTTATGGAGCGCACGCCTTCACGCATCAGAGCTGGTTTGGCTGCACAAGGGTTACCTACACAATATTAGGCAGGTTGCTTTTATATTGATCAGTGTATTTAGAATTGTATTAACCTGTCAGCATGTTCCATCAGTTAATGGCGCTAGTTTATACATTCATTCAATAGTTTCAACCTGTAACCCTGTCTGCCTGTTCCTACAATTTTGGGGCTAGTTGGCATCTAAAACAACTTCTAGGGCTATTCACTAAAGTGAGAATTCAAAGTGAATTTCAAATGTTAGGTCAAAATAGTCGAACCAGAAGCATAGCTGACTTGGAAAATGTTTCCAGTTTTGATCATAAATTTGAAATTCCCTTTGAATTCTCAATTGAGTATCTAGCCCTGTAAGTTCCAATGTTCCCCTGATATAATTGAGCCATGATACAATCTTATTGACCTTTTTTTCTTGCACCAGTTATTTTCTACATATGAACAGACTGTAATTGTGGTACCACCAGAGTCAATATCTTTTACAATGTCCAACCTAACTCACAGAAGACACTTTAACAGGTAAGTGTTTGTAATTTAAGTTTGCATTAATTATAAATGCATTCTCCTTCCAACATCCCTATCTCATGGCACAATAAGATTACACTGTGTTTACTTCTCTCTGCTGCAGTACTGAAAGTGTTAGGTAAGGGACCTCTACACCTCCCGCTCGGCAGGATTGTGCCGACCTTCACCCACTTGCTGCATCTTTGGTGTGAAGGATCTGGATACCTTACCTTTAGTAGGAACCTACTGCCTGAGTACCCTATCTGGCTTTTTGTCGCCATGCTTATTAAGTAGAACAGATCCACAAATCGTCTCAACACCTGATTCCTTGCATACTGTTCATTAACCTGGATATTTATTGGGTAAGATCGAAAACCTTTTTGTGTTTGCTTTTTGTCTGTTTTATTTTTCCTCTTTTTTATTATTATTTTTTACATACTTTTTTCAGTTTTTTTTTTTATCATCTGCAAATTTGACAAGTTGTTACATGTCTATCACCTGAAAAGGAATCTAGGAGACTATTTTGTACTTATTAATGAAGGAGACCCTTGTGGCAAGGGGATCCCAATAGTGGCTCTGCACACACAGAAAAAAGGTACGTAGTAACCAGTTAGTCGGAAAGGTGGGGGCACTCGTACAGGAGTAAAGAAATGGAAAAGGTGAGAAAAGAATGGGCAGAGAAGCCCTGTCTACACCTATAAACCATATGAAACTCAGTGTCTATTAGAAAAAAAGAGAGGAGTCCTTAAGATAGCATTATAATAAGAGATACAGTGTATAGGGAAAAGGGGGGAGGAGTATATCACTCCAAAACGACCTTTCCCAATATAGATAGTTAAATCCCCTGTAAATCAAGGTAAATCAAGCTGAACGGACTAGCAGAGGTTAATACCTCACAAAACAAAAAAAGAGATAGCGTGCCCACACTATGAACAGGAAGACAGACAGACTATGATACTAGGTGGATGAGTCTTCAAGGTTGAACAAACCCAGCCCCTAAACTGAGACCAGACCACCCCAACGAAACTGTCACTGTCCAAGCACCAAAACCTAAATAAACTGATTAACTAAATAAAACCATACTAACTACCTAAGTGCTACCTAGTGAAAAATTAAAATAATAGCGTTTCTTTACTTTACTTTATTTTTCACTAGGTATCACATAGGAAGTTAGTATGGTTTTATTTAGTTAATCAGTTTATTTAGGTTTTGGTGCTTGGACAGCGACAGTTTCGTTGGGGTGGTCTGGTCTCAGTTTAGGGGCTGGGTTTGTAAACACACAACTCAATGCTCCAGACCAGCAAACTGCTAAAAATTCGGCTTTTACACATCTTTTTTTCACATCTGATGATCAATTATTGAAGGGCATTTTATTAGCAGCACCTGTCTGCTACTTAGACTCTTAATTCCCATGGAAGCAGTAAGGGAGTACTTGGTTTTTCACACATGGTATTTTGGCTTTGTTTTTCTTAAATCATGACACGTGTAGTAGGTCATCTGTTGTTCATCTGAGGTTGTATTTACCTAATTTTAAGACAAGGAACAGATTATTAATTTTGCCTCTTTTTAAATCACTGGTAAGACCACATCTTGAATATGTTGTGCAATTTTTGGCACCTGTTCTAAAGAAGGATATTATGGCATTATAAAAAGTGCAGAGGTGGGCTAAAAAATTAATAAAAGGAATAAAACATTTTAGCTTTGAAGAAAGGTTAACAAATTTAAACCTCTCTAGTTTAGAAAATCAGTGCCTCAGAGGGGATATGATAACATTATACAATTATATCCAGGGCCAAATACAAACCATTGTGTGGAAATCTATTTACAAACAGGACTATACATAAGACACGAGGTCATGTGTTTAGAATGGAAGAAAGGAGATTTAGTCTAAAGCAAAGGATAGGTTTTTTTTACCGTACGAACAATAAGGATGTAGAATTCTCTGCCTGAAGAAGTGGTTTTGTCAGAGTCTGCACAGATGTTTAAACAGCAGCTATATGCATACTTGCAAAAACATAATATTCAATTATATAATGTTTTAAGTGGAGGGTAATAGCTTCTTGATCCAAGGATAAATCTGACTGTCATTCTGGAGCCAAGAAGGTTTTTTTTCTCCTAGCTCGTTGCAAAATTGTAAGTGCTTCAAACAGTTTTTTTTTTTTTTTTTGCCTTTTTGAAAAGCATAAAACTTTTCAGCCTATGTAACTAAATAATGATATAGGACTATATAACTACTTCCTTCATTATCCTCTACCTGGTCTGAGAAAGCAGCTTTTGGTATTCTGGGACAGGAGGTTATCGAGAGCTACTTTCTCAATCCGAGTAGAGGAAAATGAAGCTCCTCTACTGTTGTCAGCAAGGCCATGCTACAGAAAAGTAAGAGATAGTACATAGAGGGTGGGGAGGGCATGGGGGGAGAGAATCACAAGAATAGGGGGTAGGACACACATAGAAACATAGAATGTGACGGCAGATAAGAACCATTCGGCCCATCTAGTCTGCCCAATTTTCTAAATACTTTCATTAGTCCCTGACCTTATCTTATAGTTAGGATATCCTTATGTCTATCCCACACATGCTTAAACTCCTTTACTGTGTTAACCTTTACCACTTCAGCTGGAAGGCTTTTCCATGCATCCACTACCCTCTCAGTAAAGTAATACTTCCTGATATTTTTTTTAAACCTTTGCTCCTCTAATTTAATGCTATGTCCTCTTGTTTTGGTAGTTTTTCTTCTTTAAATAAACATTTTGAGGGGTCAATGTTTTTTCTTAAAACACAATTTTCAAATTGAGGAGTCAATGATGGTCAAGTCAGGATTCTGAAAACAAGTTAACATTAATGGTTTTTAAAGGGGGCACCAGGGTGGGGGAGAATAATACAAAACATGAGGGTTAGAGACACAAGAATGGGAGGTAGGAGACATGGGGAAAAGAATACAATACATGGGGGGTAAGAAACACAAGAATGGGGGTAGGATACACATGGGGAGAAAAATATAATACATGGAGGGAGTAAGAGCGACAAAAGGGAGATAGGAGACACAGTGAGGTCGTTTGAGACATTGGGGGCCTGGGAGACACAATCAAGAGATTACAAGACACAATGGGCGAGGTAGGTAACACAAAAATGAAGTAAGAGATACAAGAATCCTAAAAAGCAAGATGGGGCCTGTTATAGTGTATACAAGTGGTTCCCCGACGAAAGGGTAAATTTGCAGGAGTTTATCAGCTCAGTGCTGCAATATAGCTAATTTGTACCTGCTGTAGCAGTTGCTGGTCCTTAAAAGAGGCACAGGAGGTTCACTTTGTGAATCTCATGCAGGACAGAGGCAGCTCTCAGGAGCTGGGGTTTATATTTAGTATTTTTAATTTTCTCTTATGTTTAGTCATACGTGGATAGCAGTGCAATTGTTATTATGATTTAAGTTACTGTGTATATGACAGTATTTGCTTTGTATACAAAGTTGTCCTGTAACCCTTTACCATGAGGAAATAAAGGAACTGCAGAAAATACTTACACTGCTGTTGTTTCATCCAACAATGTCCACTCCCTTTATCTGCAGTGTAGTTGTTTTTCACTCTACTCTACTGTCAGTACTTTGAGTACTGACTGATCAATTACCACCTATAACATTAAAATAATATTAAAAGAAAAACTGTTATTTTATTATAACTGAAAATGTGAATATATTTAATATAGCTTTGAATTCTTTTTAATGAATATATTTAAGTTTTAGCAAGTTTTTTTGGCTTATCCATGCCTCATGAGGATGCTTATTTTTAGTGTGAATCACAACTTATCTACCATGGCCATGATCAATTTGAAGGCCTACAATTGACCCAGATTTTTTTTCTTCTAATTTTCCATTTTGTAAAATGTTTTCCATTGGCTAATAGTCTGCATTTGCAAAGTTGTATGACTGACTATTCCAATACTATCCCATAATATCCCTCCTTCACCCTATTAATTTTTCCCACAGGTTAGTTATTGTTGTCCACTAATCTCATTGCTATATAAAAACATTTAGCTATTCACATATGCATATAGCCTTATCAAGTGTCATGTAATACCTTGTAACATTTTTAATTGACTATTTGTCATATACTGTATTTTGTATTGCAACTTATTTCTTAAAAAACATGAATAAAAATCGATTTATAAAATAGAAAGAAATTGTCGCAGAGTGCATTTTGGAGTCTTCTAGATCTTCTGCATGATGTCATTATCCGTGAACAAATTCATGACTACCAGCACAAATTAGCAGCATAATTACTTTGTAGATTTCCAGAAAGGAAGCTGTGCTTCTGACCAAAGAAAACTTAAAGATGGCCGCCTCCACAGAGCAAGTGTAAACCAAGAGAAACATTGAAAAGAGCTATGTACATATGTATGCATTACAACACAATACTCACATAATCTGTCAACATATCTGATATTTTATTTTATTTTAAATAAGAATAAACATTTATGACTGTTTTCCTCTAAGGATTTGTTGCAGTATTATGGTATATGGATATTGAATCATTGTTGCAGTATCGTAGTATATGTATATTTAATCTTATTCTTCTCAATATGTTGTGAGGACCAATATATTTTTAAAAAAATTTTGTTTGTTGCTGTTTTGTAAACTATTCCCTCTTTTTGGTAAGCACAAGTTTGATCAGCCTGCAAGGCAATTTATAGTGAAAACTGCCAGAGTCAGATTATATACAGTATAATGCATTTAGGCAGGTGCCATGGATATACGACAATATTGAGGAAAATCAGGGACTACTACAGATTTCAGAGAGTGTGAAGTTATGGGCCTCTTCCGAATTAATGAATCTGCAGCCTGATAATGACAGGCACTAAATGTTTTGCTCTACTGACTCTCTCTAAACCCCTTTTATGTTGGGGAAATACACTTTGTTTTCTGTGAGATTATCTCTTACTCACATTGGCACATATATCCCAGTTGCATTAAACATTATATTTCCTATGTCATATATTACATAGTTACATAGGCTCAAAATAGACATGCGCCCATCAAGTGCAATCTTTTTCGCATCTGTTTTTATATATATGTACAGCACCAACAAGTAACCACACACTGGCACTGTACCTCCAATTTTAAATAAATGATCCATACTCACATCAGATTATCTCCCAATGCCAGTCGATCCAATCAACCCATTTTCTTAAATTATAAAAATCAACATGACATACTTGAAAACGATTGTCCAGGATTGATGTATCTCTCATGAAGAGGGAACTTTCAGACATTTTGGATCTGGACCTCTCATTATGGATGGGATCAGTCTGATATGCAAGTGGTATATCTCTCTGTAATGGCACAGGTGAGCAAAAACATTTTTGAGATATGAGCAATGAATTACCAAAGGGGAAAGCTATTAAGGTTAAAGGTTTGGCCCCTTCTCAAAGTTCTCATATTCTCTGTTATTGCTTCACATGTATATTTTGCATATTTTATTTTTGTTACATAGCATATACCATCTTTCCCCCAAAAATAGACTTGGTCTTATATTAATTTTTCCTCCGAAAGACTCACAAAGGCTTATTTCCAGGGGGTGTTTTATTTTGGGGGAAAATGGTAGCAAGCATGTGCTACAAAGGAGGTCTGCGTTCGGGGGATCAGTTCACTAGGGCATATACAGTTGCAAGAAAAAGTATATGAACCCTTTGGAATGATATGGATTTCTGCACAAATTGGTCATAAAATGTGATCTGATCATCATCTAAGTCACAATAGACAAGCACAGTCTGCTTAAACTAATAACACACACAGAACGAAATGTTGCCATGTTTTTATTGAACACACCATGTAAACATTCACAGTGCAGGTGGAAAAAGTATGTGAACCCATAGACTAATGACATCTCCAAGAGCTAATTGGAGTGAGATGTCAGCCAACTGGAGTCCAATCAATGAGATGAGATTGGAGGTGTTGGTTACAGCTGCCCTGCCCTATAAAAAACACACACCAGTTCTGGGTTTGCTTTTCACAAGAAGCATTGCCTGATGTGAATGATGCCTCGCACAAAAGAGCTCTCAGAAGATCTACGATTAAGAATTGTTGACTTGCATGAAGCTGGAAAGGGTTATAAAAGTATCTGCAAAAGCCTTGCTGTTCATCAGTCCACTGGTAAGACAAATTGTCTATAAATGGAGAAAGTTCAGCACTGCTGCTACTCTCCCTAGGAGTGGCAGTCCTGTAAAGATGACTGCAAGAGCACAGCGCAGACTGCTCAATGAGGTGAAGAAGAATCCTAGAGTGTCAGCTAAAGACTTACAAAAGTCACTGGCAAATGCTAACATCCCTGTTAGCGAATCTACAATACGTAAAACACTAAACAAGAATGGATTTCATGGGAGGATACCACAGAGGAAGCCACTGCTGTCCAAACAAAACATTGCTGCACGTTTACAGTTTGCACAAGAGCACCTGGATGTTCCACAGCAGTACTGGCAAAATATTCTGTGGACAGATGAAACCAAAGTTGAGTTGTTTGGAAGAAACACACAACACTATGTGTGGCGAAAAAAAGGCACAGCACACCAACATCAAAACCTCATCCCAACTGTGAAGTATGGTGGTGGGGGCATCATGGTTTGGGGCTGCTTTGCTGCGTCAGGGCCTGGACGGATTGCTATCATCGAAGGAAAAATGAATTCCCAAGTTTATCAAGACATTTTGCAGGAGAACTTAAGGCCATCTGTCTACCAGCTAAAGCTCAAAGAAGATGGGTGTTGCAACAGGACAATGACCCAAAGCATAGAAGTAAATCAACAACAGAATGGCTTAAACAGAAGAAAATATGCCTTCTGAAGTGGCCCAGTCAGAGTCCTGACCTCAACCCGATTGAGATGCTGTGGCATGACCTCAAGAAAGCGATTCACACCAGACATCCCAAGAATATTGCTGAACTGAAACAGTTCTCTAAAGAGGAATGGTCAAGAATTACTCCTGACCGTTGTGCATGTCTTATCTGCAACTACAGGAAACATTTGGTTGAAGTTATTGCTGCCAAAGGAGGTTCAACCAGTTATTAAATCCAAGGGTTCACATACTTTTCCCACCTGCACTGTGAATGTTTACATGGTGTGTTCAATAAAAACATGGCAACATTTCATTCTTTGTGTGTTATTAGTTTAAGCAGACTGTTGTCTATTGTTGTGATTTAGATGATAATCGGATCACATTTTATGACCAATTTATGCAGAAATCCATATCATTCCAAAGGGTTCACATACTTTTTCTTGCAACTGTAATCCCGCAAATCTATGTTCAGGAAAACTTCCCCGAACATAGATTTGCTTACTCGCGAATGGAATCCTGCAAATCTATTTTCAGGGAAAATTTCCTTAACATAGATTAGCGAACTAGCGACAAGGGCTTCTTTTCTGGGTAGGGCTTATAATACGAGCATCACCCGAAACTAAGCTAGGGCTTATTTTCGGGTGATGTATTATTTTCGGGGAAACATTATAAACACAGTGAATAAGACGCATGTCATAGTTGGTGAATAGTAAAACATACTATTAAAATTACATAACATAAATACATACAGAAAAGAAGAGGGAACACGGACACAGGAATCTAGTGGCATCTCTGCTAGTCAAGACTTTGCCTTAGCAAGAGACTAGCAATGGTTACTTGTGTCTTGACTTGAACTCTGCTCCAATCTGGAAGGATCTCTCATAAAGTATGACAAAGTATTGATCAAACACTTTCCATATGCTCAGGATTTCTATATAATATCCATTAATGTTATGGAGAGCTACCTAAGTACTGGTTAGTGGGAGTACCTGTGTATGCTTCTTCCTGTGGAGTAGCATGTTTTGTTTATTTTATCTGTGATTTGGAATATATTAATTAATCTGTAATTCATAACTAGAGCAAAGATCAGTCGACATTGGTTACATTTTCTTTTCTAAAATGTGTGCATTACTTAAATTGCTAAAAGGCTTAAGTATAAATATATATTTATTTATACTTCTTACCATTTCAGTGATCTACCTATAATACAATTCTATAAATGTATATGTTTGTATTAATATACAATTGCCTAGTCAACACTGATAGGCTTGTGATACAGTGCATGCACTAAGATTACTTATTGTTTGAAATGTACCTACATTTACAAGCTGTATGTCTGTACTATTGCTTGCATGATGTCAGCATCAGGGCTGGGAAACCTATGTCCACTGCATTTGTTGGAAATAAAAAGAGGGTTATGTATAAAATACAATTCTTGGGAGAAATTCCATAAATGATACAATCATTATGGCAATGAATGGCATGTTCCGTATGTTAACACATAAACTCTATTTAAAGGAATACTTGGAATATAGTGTGTGGAATACAAAGTTGTATAACTAACACTATAGTTCCTTCTGCGTTTCCCTTCCCTCACAGCCCCTCACCCCCAATAAAGGGTTAAAAACCTTTTTAACACTTACTTGACTCCACTGCTGATGTCCCTACGCACTGAGTCGGCGCTCAACCTCCTTCTCCAGGGTCAGTTGACGGGGTTGAGGGCCTAATGCACATGCATGGTGAGCGCATTAGGTCCTCCCCATAGAAAATCATTGAACCAATGATTTCCATTGGGGTTTTCACTCACTGATGCAGAGTATGAGGACGTCCAGCATCAGTTAGGTCAGTGGTCCCCAACTCAGTCCTCATGGACCACCAACAGTCCAGGATTTATGTATTTCCCCGTTTTATTCCAATGGAGATACTGACAAAACCTGGACTATTGGTGGTCCATGAGGACTGAGTTGGAGAACACGGAGTTAAGTGACCTACATGTTTTACATTGCAAGACTAAGGGCAATATGGACTCTGTACCCAGACCCCTTAAATCCACAATCTGTGGAAGTACAACATAAATAGTATGAAGGTTTGTGGCTAAGTAACCTTAGATGAGAAGAAAGCAAATGAAGGTTGAATGCTAACATGCATTAAAAGCAAAAGAAACAGATATGTTAACAACTGATTGATCTGTAACTACAAATTACTTCTACCCCATGGATCTCTGCACTTATTGAATTGGATTACTTCACAATAAAATTCAGTTAAAGCTTGTGGCATAGGAGAAACTTCCTCCCACTCAGATCTGTTGCTATGGTATACTTGAACTTCATCAGTGATTTCATCTGGAGAATAATCTCCTCCTAGTATATAAATTTTATCTTCAATTCCAACGGCTCCTGCATTAAAGCCAGCACATTCAAAAGAGCCTTCCCCTTTCCACACACAAGTCTCTGGGCAAAAGCTATAAACTTTGTATGTCGAAAGATCACAGATGTACAATGTATTGTTGACTGGAACTGCTTTGATTAAGGTTGCATGGAAGAACTGTCCAAACTCTGCTACAAGTTCACACCACTGATCTGTATCGGCATTGTACTTAAAGAAACAGTCAAGTGAAGGGTTAAAAGCATCTGTAATTTCAACTTCAGAACCGAGGACGTAAATTACAGTTTTGCAAGCACTTGCTTCTGGATAGTATATTCCTCTTGGCAATGGACTTACTGATTTCCATTCTCTGCTAAAAGGATTATAAGCTTCAACGTCTAGAAGACTTCTGGTGTCCTGTGCACCTCTAGTTTTACCTCCTATTACAAATAATTGGTTAAGTGTCATTACAGATGCATGCATTGTCCTAGGTTTCTTCATGGCTGGAACCAAGGATGAAATATTGGTAGCCGGACAATAGCACCAGGTTTGGTCAGTAGCATCATGATAACATTCAGCAATATGAAGTCTCACTGCCCTACAACAATTCCCTTTGCAGCCTCCGGTTATAAACAGCTTTTCTGCATAGCTTGATATACTTGAACCGGGGAGGTCCACAATATGAATTTGTGGAAGTTCTGACCATGTATCAGTTTTTATACTATAGCAAAAGGTGTGTTGAGTTTCTGCATCTTCTATAGTTTTATGGACAAAAATGTATTTTTCAGTTGTAGAAACACGAGCATCAGGAAATAATCCCCCTGACTGTTCCACAGATTTTATTGCAGAATTTATTGTTGAGAAACAATTTGTGCTTTTTAATAAATACTCCTCAGAGACTAGCAGTGCTTGCAATGTGGCTTGAGATAGTTGATGTAATCTCACTTTGCTTAGTAACTGTGGAAGATACCTCTCCCGCTTATTCAAATTGTGCTTCGTCCAGGCCAAAACCGCAGACAACACAAATTCTTCTTCAGGAACGTTTAGGTTATCATGTTGCAAGCATTTTTCCAGCACCCCAATATTCAATTCTAAAAAATCTGTTGACTGTGTTATTAAAGAAAAATGCTCCAGGGAAAATTCTAAGGCACAATCAAACAAGCGTGATGAACCGTAACTTTCCGATATTGACAGCAACTGCAAGCAATTATGTATATCAATAGATTTTATTAAGAAATCACTGCATGCTTTCGAAAGAAGGGGAACCTGAAAAAATGACGACATCTGGAAAAGCATGTCTACATTTTCCTCTGTTATCTCTGCTTGTCCAGAATAGGCATAATCAAGAAATGCCTTTACAGCAGTGGGGGATAAATTGCTGATGTTTACATTTCCATCATCTCGCTCTTTCATATTGACTTCAAACATGGCTCTGTAAAAAATAATATCCAATAATTAAGGTCAGTTACATGATTGGTATCATCGTCCATGAAATCAGTTTATGGTGACAAGTATTAGTATTTCTATGTTACATGGTGCTGTAAGAGTATAAGGCAATGATATATATGCTAAGTCATGGGATATAACTCTCCTACTTATTAACATGTGGTTCACAATTCTGAATTTTAGTTTTTCTGTTTAGAATGAGTCATTAGACCTGTGGATTTTCAATGGAGCAATCAGGGCTCAGTTCTTAAGACACATTTAAGAGCTATGTGTCTATCTATGGGGAAGTTTGCTGATAGTATCAAAATTTCCTAAAACAACTCATTTTAAATTTTGCCAGCCTTCAGTTCCCTTGGCATCATACGTGCTGAAAGCTACCTATTGGATACACCTGGTTTGGAATATAAGCACTTTTAAAATAAGTAGCTTTCCCATAAATGTCAAGGTGCAAACATAGGCTTTGCTGCCCCATAAAAATAGGCTTATCATTCTAAAATGACCATGAGATTGACAAAAAGACAATAAATTTAATATTATACATAAGAATGTTGAACTATTTCTGTCCATACTAAATGTATCTGCCAAATGATTTATTTTATATTTATATTACTATTGGTAGATGCAACAGTACAGTTTGTTCTATATGGTTAGTATATGCGCAGTCTTCTTGAAGTATAACACAAACTAAAGCTGTCCGGAACGTAAAGAGTACTTGTAGCAAATGTGTCCCGCTTCAATCAACCAGAAGAATTAAATAAACACAGATAAACTAAGAAGAAAACTCAAACATTATGCAAATAAAACAGGAGGGGAAACTCACTGAATGACAAAACTGTACACCCAAAGGTTCTTCTACATAGCTGGCAGGTAAACAGGTAATAAACAGGTAATAAAACAGGAACTCCACCAGATGGGCACAATCCAAAATTAATATTATTATTATTATGTTATTATTTATATAGCGCCAACAAATTCCGCAGCACTTTACAGTGGGTGGACAAACAAACATGTAGTTGTAACCAGACAAGTTGGCAAAGAGATATAGATTCACCAAGCCAGATACCAAGTATTCTGACTGCAGACAACAAATACTCAAGTGGGGTAGAGAGAAGTCCACCAAAATGTCTATAGAGTCACTGTAAACAGTGATAGTAACATAGGACCATAGACATATAGGATGGGACAGCAAGAATCTCTAGTCTTGGTTTTGATGAAACAATCAGTATTTGTCTAGAAACAGTTTGTTTGTGGAGGGTCCATGTATATTCTCAACAGTGTGTCATCTATAGCTTAGGTTGGTTCCTGCAACACCACTGTCTAGTCTATTACATAAATGGAGGTCGCCATGTGGATTGTATCTCTTGATGTATAAGTAACATTTACCCAGAGTGTTGATTAGATCCCTTTAGAGTATGGTCACGTGTATGCTGTAGGGGGATGGAGTGTAGTTGCATTGACTCTGGGAGAGGCTGTAATCAGGCTTTGATATCTAATCTATCCCTCAAG